GGAGCTGGCAGCCCAGCCACAGCTCCATTTGTCTGACTTTCCCTCCCAGCCTTGAATTATTTTTTTTTTTTTACAGGGGAATAAAAAAGCCTAAATAAATAAATAAATGAAAACAGCCCACAACCAAAAAACGAAAGAAGAGCGGATGGGGGGAAAGAAAGACGGGTGGGTAACGCGGCGGCTGCTCCCAGCAGGATGGGGAGGTGGAAAAAGAGAGAGCAGGACTCTCAGCGCCCAGCACGGAGGGGAAAGGCAGCTCCCCATGGCAAAATAAAATAAATCCCCCCCCTAGCCCCCCAATAAAGCAATAGCCTCTCCCTGAGGTGCTCCGTGGCCGAGGAGCTCGGTAGCCCTGGCCAGGGACCCTCCTTCCCCCGGGACAAAGTGTTTAAGGCACAATTCACCGTTTCAAGTATTTTAATGGCACCGTTCAGGTAAATGCCGGGCAGGAGAAGGGCGGACACCGGAGCTCATTGGCCAGATAATACAGGAATAATGAACTCAAAGCCCCGCAGCGTCCGTCCCCGAACTGCCGGCAAAAGGAGTTAAAAAAAAAAGAAAAGGAAGGAAAGGGAAGGGTTGAAATTCCCCTTGTTCGCGGAGGTGGCTGAGAAGGAAGGTCCCTAAAGGGAGAGGCCAGGGAGCAAAATCCTTTCTCCTCCTTGGGGCAAAGGGACCGGAGAGTCATTTCCAACCCTCTTCCACAGTTGGAAGGGTTTAATTAAACATTTATTTTCTCCCGTAGCGGCTCCTCCGCCACACTCACGCTCGTTCGTGAGGGGCACGGCTCTACCCTGCCCGCAACGGGGAGGGGATGGATCCAGACCCTCCACTTGTCCCCGCTCCCTCTCTTTCCAACGGGCCGTTTTCTATGTGTTTAAGACATCCAGGGGCTAGCGGACACCAGCGGCTCCAGGAGGCTCCGGACCGCGTACACCAACACGCAGCTGCTGGAGCTGGAGAAGGAATTTCACTTCAACAAATACCTCTGCAGGCCCCGGCGGGTGGAGATCGCGGCTCTGCTCGACCTCACCGAGCGGCAAGTCAAGGTCTGGTTCCAGAACCGCCGGATGAAACACAAGAGGCAAACCCAGTACAAAGAAAACCCCGACGGGGATCTCGCCTATCCCAACCTGGACGAGGGCAGCGACCCGGCGGAGGAATCTGAGGAGAGCCCGGCTTTCGGGCCGGCTCCGGAGCCCGGCGGGGCCTACCAAAGCGA